AAGAAAGAAAGAAAGAAAGAAAGAAAGAAAGAAAGAAAGAAAGAAAGAAAGAAAGAGAAAATTGACAGCCTCGATTATAATGATATTCTTAAGCAACCTATACATTTCCAACACTCTACCCTCATCCAGTTCTTTGCTGAAACTCTTCCATCTCAAGTCACTCAGCAATGACTTTGTAGTGCAGTGCTAAAGCTAGCCTGAGGATCCAACAGTAATCATGGCAGAGTGAACTTTGTCTGCTCAACATAGTGATGAGTTAAGAATATACATCTCCTTTTTTTCATCTTTTCTCACTTGAAAACTGAAAGTTATTTTGGGCTTTCTTCATAATCTTGGATATGTTCATATGTGAAGATGATGACATAAGACATATTTTGTTTAGTGAAGCAACGTTATCACAAAGCCTTCATTATTCAGTGCCTCTAACACTTCATTTCTCACCATTACTCTCTGGAGAGTTTGTGGATCTTTTGCTTTGTTTTGGTTTTTTTTAAGAGGTGGCAAGTTATGTGTGAACATTTCAAGTTTCCTGGTCTCCTTATGTGCTCATTCTATATTCACTGCTACCTCGTGACGAACTGCATTTGTTATGCATGTGTGCCACACATCTATTTGCATCCCTGAGGTGTGCTATTGCAAATTATCCTTGGCTGATGGTCAGCGACAACAGTGCCATCCCTTTCTTGGCTTACATGCTTCTCAGGAGAAGTTATCTAATAATTACAGACTTTATAATCCTATAGGTTTTAAGGCTGTTAGAACATTGCAATTTGTATTGATTTGAATATGATTTGTTTCCCACCAAAACTCATGTTGAAGCTCGCTTCCCAAGATACTAAGATTGAGAGTTGTTTGGGGCCTTAAGAGATGTTGAAAATTGTGAGAAAACCGCCCTCATGAATGGATTTATGTCTCTAAAGGACTATTCTTTGAGATTGGATGAATTCTGATATTAGGTCTTTCTAAAGTGAGCCTGGCATATCATCTCTCACAGACTCCTTCTTCACACATCCTCTTACCCTTTTCTTCACCATGAAGTAACACAGAATGAGGTCTCAGCAGAAGTTGAGCAGATAGAAAGTGGGATATTCATACAGCTAGAACAATGGGCTTAATCAACTCCTTTCTTCATAAATGACTCAGCTTCCAGTATTTTGTTATGGTGACAAGCAAGGTTATTTCTGGTTGAACTAAGACCTTATCTTCTGCCACTATACCTAGAGTTAACCAGAAGTGTTTCTTTTCTAAAATATTAATTGAAAGTGAGTTCTTATTCGGTACTCAATTTTGTTGCAGGTCACATTTTAAACCTGAAGAACAGTGTGTTAAAAGAACAATTAGACTATGGGTTGGAAAGGATAAACCATGAGAAAGTAATAAAAATCCTCTGAAGAAAACCAATTTTAATAAAGCGTAAGTTCATGACATTTGATTACTACAGTCTATTTTGATTTATAGAGTGAAAATGATAAAAGCTGCAAATCTTATTTAAGACAGAAACAGAAGAGATTATTAGTGCTTCCTTAAATGGAATGGGTAGAAATATGTTTCATCAGTTACCAATATACACAATATACTCTTAAGAACTCTTAAGATCTAACTGGCCTTGTCTGTAAAGGATATACACATATATGATTGACATCTGTAGAAAATGAATATGATTAAAAGATCAAGGAGTGACAGAAAATATAAATGTTTTATGAAGATTTTTTCAAAAGCTCTGGTAAGGTAAAAATTAATAAAGAATAGAACACTTGAGGGCTCTAAGTTCTAATTCTAGACATAGTCTGATTCTGTACAGCTTAAGCAAAGATCACTTTGTTTTGTTTCCTCTGATAACGAAAGAATGAGCAGAGTGTTCAGTCTTTGATACTACCAGTACCAGTCCATTCCTCCCCAAAGTGGGCAGCTGAAACTACAAAATTGTGTTCCAGAAAGTTCCATCAAGCCCCCCCCATGTGGGATCTGAAATTAGTCATGCTGCTGTACTCTCAGGTTGAACTCTCAGGTGTTAGGGTAGAGAACACATTGCTGAATGATAGTGTTGGCTGTTTTTCTTTGATATGTGCCCTTCTTTCCATCTGTATATTAGGATTCTCTAGTAGTTTGTAGTCTGGTAGTCTACTCCATATCAGAACAGGGATTACTTCCAGGATTAAGAGTCAACATATGTAGAATCTCACCATTGTTTATTTTTTACAGGACTCTCTTCCAAGGCACTAAATTTTTGCTCCACACCCCAACTATCACCCACCAATTCTTCTGTGGACTAATGGCACTGAGTTCACCACAGGGATGGTGGTTGCTAGACTCATCCTCACCAATACCAGTGCATGGCAAATGTAATGAAATAGTAGGGAACAAGGTTGAGAGCACATGATCTCAATCACGAATGCAGTACATCTGCAAAGACGTTTGGTATTTGAGTGAGTCTTCACGTGAGCAAACTGATCTTTAAGAAAAAATAGAAAAAGAAGGTATTGAAGGTTCATATTTATCAACAGTAATAAAAGATGTTGATCTGACTGATGAGAAGGACATTTTCCCTCTGTAGTCTTAATTCACAAAATAGATATTGTCATTTTAACCATGAGAAAACCATCTCAGACAAGTTCTAGTTAAGGGAGTGTTTTACAAAATGTCTAAACTTCTCAGAACTGTTAAGGTTGTCAAAACCAATGTGCCTGAGGAATCTGTTACAGTAAGATGAATCTAATGAGATAGAACAAGTTCGTGTAATAAGGTATCCCAGAACAGAAAATGTACTAAGAAAATCTGAATAAAAAACTTATATAGAATTTCATTAACAATAAAATATCAATATTGATTGCTAATTCTAACAAATGAAACATATGAATAAAAGATGCTAACACTAAGAGAAACTGGGTGCTGGGTCGGCAGCTGCAATTCTGTCTAAAACACATTTACAAGGCAGGGGCAAAAAATGGCCAAGTAACTATTTAAATAATTTATCAAAGAGCAGTGAAGTAAATTCAGTGACTGAAGAGATGAAATATAAATAATGATAATTGAGAAAAGAATGGAATTCATTTTTCAAAATATCACTCATAATCTATCCAGTTTAAAATAGTTACAAATGCATCAATGCTGGATTTTAATGACATAAAAAGTGTAAAACTGAATACTAGAAATCTAAGAATATTAAATATGGGAAGAAGACTGGCCAGATAGCTCAGCAGATTAAAGCACTTGTTTAGGCAGATGCAGGGACTGGGATTAGATCTCCAGTTTACTGTGCCAGCCACGCCCCAGGGGCATGTTGAGACAGTGATTGAGATTGGGCATGGTGGTGCACACCTGTAATCCCAACACTTGGAAGGTTGAAAACAGGAGGATCATTATGAGTCCAATCTGTATACTGAGACCCTGTAGACCCTGTACTAAATACATAAAAAATAGGAAGAAATATATACATTGAGCTACACAGAAAAATCAAAGTCAAATACTTAAAATGCATATTCAATAGTATTCATTAGTAGTATTATAGAGTAAAAAGGTAAAATGTGACCTTTAAAATTTTCAGAACATATTAAACAGAAAAGAAAAATGAAGAGAGTTAAATTTTAGTCTATTCTATTCTAACCTTCTGAGGGTTGTCAGAGAAAGTTACTCTGGGATTAGGTGCCAGTTCTCATTACTCCACAAGGTCAAAGGGAGGAAAGCACATATCCAAACAGCCATCTAAAGGTCAATGTACAGTATGCTCTTTGGCTGCTGCTTTTCTTAGTGATCAGTTTTTTTAAAATAAAAAAAAAAACAGCACAGATTTGAGGTCAACAGCTTAATGCTTACAGAACAAGCTTCAATCTGAATCTATCCATTAGTACAAGACTAAAACTTATAATAATATGCATTGGTCTAGTGACATGTTCCCTTAAGCACTTAAATTCCATTATATTCATGTAGGTTGCAAGAGCTAGAACATGGTACATGCTAAGCTGGCACTATGTTATAGGAAGCATAAATAACTTACTCAAACTTTGTTAGCACCAGTGGTGAAGCTGGGCTTAAAATCTCACTATTTCTATTCTGCTATTCAAAACTATTCTGTTAGATAATCCTCTGATAGAATTTTTTGGTAATTTAGATAAATAATAGTTTAAACGTTTAATCATATCTTCTAAGAGTTTACTGAATCAATCAACTACTTTGATATACAGTAGTATAATGCCATTGTTGCTTAGAAACTCTGAATGAACTTCAATATTTAGTTTATCTTGAAGGAAAGTACTTTTTTTTCCTTTTTGTATTTAATACAGGGTGTACAGGGTCTCACCACATAGATCAGACTCATAGTGATCCTCCTGTTTTCAGCTTCCCAGGTGCTGGGACCCAGTCTCAATGGCTGTCTCAGGGCGCCTTGGGGGCGGGGCCGGCACAGCATTCAGGGATTGAACCCCAGCCCCTGCATCTGCCTAAACAGGTGCTTTAGTCTGCTGAACTATCTGGCTAGCCTGGAAATGCGTGGTTTTTAAAAAAGAATTTTGAGCTACTGATTCCACCGGAGGCAGAACCAAGTGAAGCAAAGCAAAATTACAGAGGTCAAGCTTCAAGATCTGAGTCTGTCTTCATCCTGAGAAGCCCATGCGGGGATATTCAAATTGTAGTTATGTTCTTCAGTCCTTCGACAGAAGTAGGCCTATTAATTCATCAGTTCTGAAAGAACAATTAAATTTTATGGCTTAAGGTCATGAGAATCAATAAATCACCTCCTATATTAATCCATTCCTGTTTCTGACAAATGGTTCTGTTACTTCTGCTTGACTCTTTCCAGCTAAAGAACTTTTGCTGACGCCTACAAAAATCTGCTTTCCTGTTGAATATATAATCACACTTGTCAACATTTTTTGAGCACTTATTGTGTGTTGGATGCTTACTTGGACATTTTGACATCCGGTATGCATTGAATACTAAGTGTCAGGCACTGTTACATGGGTCTAGGGAGTCCACAAAGAGCTTGGCAAACACTTTCACCTTACACTTACATTGTATCCTTAAGTCACCAAAATAACTGAAGCGATAGGTGCTACTTAGACATTATTACCTTTTTAAAAATGCAACAGTGCTATTTTATAAGTTTATATCCAGAGTTACAGTATCATTTGAGAAATGTGACCAATGTATTTTTAAAAATCTAGGGGCCAGGGAATAGCTCAGTGGCTTAAGGGCCTTCCTGGCAAGCTCAAGGTCCTGAGTTTGATCCCAGTGGAAAAAAACTAATGTATACCATGCCATCTATAGGAAAGGCCTTAGGCATTCTTTAGCTTCCAAAAGGACACCACTCATATATTATCTTCTTTAACATAGACATCTCCAATTATTGACTTACAAAGAAAAACTTCAGTGTTATCCAGAAGAGCATATTTTGGATTTACATGATGGATTTTTGCATTGATACTTAGATGTATTTTACTATTGTGGTCTTAACTATTTGCAATTTCAGAGGAAACTCTAGAAAGTCAAAGCAGTTTCCACAAAGTAAAATGCTGCTGCTCAAGATCCTACAGATAGTATAACATCCTCCCATGTAGGTTTGAATAAATGGTAACAGGCCTTGCTGAAACTTTTAAATTTGATGGCTGTTAGAGAAAGCAAAAGTTTTAATAAGAATCTACTACAAGTCTGGAAAAATTCTAGGAAATATATCTGCACTTGTAGAGCATACACACTTCCTCCAAAGGTGTCATATAAAGTTTTCCTGATTTCGCTTTTAAGTCCATTAGCATGACCTAAACACATAAAATGACCAAACCATAAAATGTCTAAAACCTAAACTCATTTATCCAGTAAAAGTGCACTGCAAGGTTAAGTACTGTGGTCCTGTTCATGCTACTGTGAAGGACATCTGCAGAGGGAAACCTGCCTGCTGGCACCTGCTCCCTTGGTGCAGGCCGCTCCCCCATGAGCTGGTGGGGCCAGGGACTTCCTCTGAAAAGTACCACAGGAGCAAAGAGCCGTACAGCACTTGTGGAATTAGGTTACCAAAGCTACATGAGTTACCCCCCAACAGGGCTCATATGAAACCTGTGGCTCCAGCAAACCGTGAGCAGGAACCTGACAGGTAGGACCAGCGCCCTAAGTGAATCTGGACACACAACAAAAACTTAGGGGAAAACTATCTGCATCTCAGAGCCTTTTTTATACAGAACTGGAGGTTCAGAAAATACCTTCCTCTTTTCACAGAAAGCCTTAGGGATCTAAGTGTTTATAAACATCCCTAATTTAATAACCTGAAAGAAACATGAGTAGCAAATTCTTTGTTAGGCTTTCAAAGTTACAAGCTTCATCAAATGATTTTATGACAAAGTAAATTTTAGCAATCAAAATCATTACATGAACTTAATAATGTGTATTTGTCTTTAGCAAACATGAAGGGCAGTCGCCCTGAGACCATTTTTGCCATTCTAGCTTCCTTGTGCCTTATCTAGATCTGAAATCTCCACAGAGAATGTTAATAAGTATTCATGGTGCTATATATTTGATTAAAAAAAGGAAAAACATATGTTTTGAATATTTTTATTAGAAAAATATTTAAAATCCAGGAGCTCTTGATGAGATACTGACTAGGTATTTTACAGTGTTTCTACAAGTCCCTGAAGTTGTATTTATATTTTTGGGGGAAAATCCTTATCTACATTTTAGGTGACATTTGGGGGACAATCTATAGGGAGTACATCTGTGCTAGGGTAAAATTACTACTAGAAAGAAATGTGTAAAAATGACTAAAATGGAATATCACACTTTTTTATCAAAGTTTGGTAATGTTTTAAAAACATACAGATTACAAGGTCATTTCTAAGGATCTCAGATAAAGACTAAACTTTTTTTTAATGTATTTAGTACAGGGTTCTCAGGGTTTTACAGGGTCTCACTATGTAGGTCAGACTCATAGTGATCCTTCTGTTTCAGCCTTCAGATTGCTGGGATTACAAGCATGCACCACTACTCCCCTGTCTCAATCACTGTCTCAGCAACCCGGGGGTGGGGCTGGCCAGGTAGGCCGGGGACTGAACCCCAGCTGCTGCGATCTACCTAAGCAGGCACGTTAGTCCGCTGAGTTATCTGGCCAGCCCTAAACTCTTGAAATATGTGAACACATCTGTTATTGACTAGAACTAAAATGCTGAAGGAGTATCTCAGAGGACAAAAACTGGCAAGATATTCAAAGGAAGAGAAAACTGCGACTCACACATTAGAAAAAAAATGTAAGAATAATTGTGATGTGGACTAGATGTCTGCTTCACAAAGACTCCAAAGTATTTACATAAGTACTAAAGAAGTACAAAATGATATGGTGACAATTTCTAAGCAAATAGAAAATATGAATTAAGAGATAGAAATTCTAGGAAAGAAGAACAAAAAGGAAATACTTTAATTGAAAAGTGCAATAACCAAAATGAAAAATCTTAATAGTAGATTTAATTTGCAAGAAAACACAATTTCCCTGTATAGAAATATCAAGCAATCAAATGCACATTTAATTGAAGATACAGATAGAAAAAATATGTATTTTTAAAGTTAGAAATAAAATTTGAGGAAATAATGACCAACGATTTTCCAAATTTGATTTTAAAATTCTATGCCTTCCCTTATCTAAAAAGATCAAAAGACTCCTATCACATTAGTAAAAGCAAAATCAGATAAAATCTATCATAATCAAATTACTGAATAGGAAATATACTTAAAACCAATCAGGGGTCTGGGGAAATAGCTCAGTAGAATAAACGCTTGCCTGGCAAGTGTAGGGTCCTGAGTTCAATCCCTGGTACTGAAAAAAAAATCAGATAATAAATAATATATCTTATAAGAATTATAGCAAATTTATCATCAGAAACTATGAGAGTGAAAACCAATCATACATAGTAAGTACTTTATAAGGACAAAGGTAAGAATTATATCAAGGGCTGGAGACACAGTTCGAGATAGTTCAGCAGGCTGAAATGTCTGCTTAGGCAAGCTCACGCAAGTGCAGGGACTACAATTTGGCCCCCAGCACCAACTGAGGTGCCAGCCCTACCTCGAGGGTGGGCTGAGCCAGCCACCAAGTCCTGGCATAGTGGCGCATGCCTGTAATCCCAGCACTGGGGAGGCTGAAAGCAGGAAGATCACTATGAGTCCCAGCTGTGTAGTGAGAACCTACAACAATCAAATACATTTAAAAAAGAAAGAGAATTACATCAAATTTATCATCAGAAACTATAAGAGTAAAAGAATCATGTAATGTGTTTGAAATATTGAGAGACTAATACAATATCAACATAAAATTTGAAAGCAAGGAATTTTTTAATTAAAAGAAAATTTTTTAAATTGCAAATGAAACCATGGAGAGAATTTGTCTCAATAGACTGGCTCCATGAGCAGTGTTAAAGAAAATTCTTCAGGCAAAAAGAAAATAATCTAGAAGAAAATATGAATCTACACCAAGAAAATAATAATACTAATTATATTAATAACTAGAGGAGCTAATTTTCCTCATTTAAATTTTTAAAATAGGGCCAGCGAGATAGCTCAGCAGACTAAGCACCTGCTTAGGCAAGCACAAATGGAATATCATATTTTTTATCTAAGTTTGGTATTGTTTTAAAAACATACAGATTACAAGCTCATTTCTAAGGATCTCGGATAAAGACTAAACTTTTTTTAATGTATTTAGTACAGGGTCTACAGGGTTTACAGGGTCTCACTATGTAGGTCAGACTCATTCATAGTGATCCTTCTGTTTTCAGTCTCTCAAGCACTGGGATTACAAGCATGCATCACCAGTCCACTGTCGCAATCACTATCTCAGTGCCACAGGTCTTTGAAGCAGCCCTAAGAGTTCACCTAAAAATATTCATAAAATAAGACTTCTAGAACTGCTTCAGCATGTGATAAGAAAAATAGGATACATGCTCAAAGGTAGCCGGGATATTGTGTGCAGGATGTGTGACACTGTGTCTTGTACTCTAATACATTTTTGTAAAAGTTTAAACAGTTTCACTATAATGTCAATCATATCTCATATATGTTAAATGACTTCTGTGGTTTGATCCCTGGCACCACATGCCATGCCAGGCCCACCTCCAGGCGCCCTGAGCCAGCCAGCGAGTCTGGACATGGTGGCACATGCCTGTAATCCCAGCGCTTGGGAGGCTGAAAACAGAAGGATCACTACAAGTCCAAACTGAATGGTCCGACCCTGTACCAAATACATTTTTAAAACTTTAAATAGATAATTAAACATATAAGCAAAATATTAACAATGTAGTTTGAATTTTTAATATAGAAATGATATAGATGATAAAATCAAAGATCAGGAAAGATAAATGGACACATACTGCTATAAAATTCCTATTCAATCTGAGGTTGTATCATATTCTCAAAGAGGACAATAATAATTTAAAAGTGTAATTTAAACCCTAGATCAACTAC